CAGAATGCCTATTTTCACCTCCTGGCTCTGTCATTTACTGACTGAGAAACTTTGGGTTGCTTAATGATCAAATAAGTTAATATATGTGAAGCACTTAGATTATTTCCTGGTATTTAGTATCAATAGCTACTCTGTGTGTGTGTATGTGTGTGTGTGTGTGTGTGTGTGTGTTACTGGGGTTTGAACTCAGGACCTTGTGCTTGATAGGTAGGTGCTCTACTACTTGAGCTATGCCCCTATCACCTAATAGCTACTCTAAAGAAAAAATGTAGAAAGTTTTTTTCCAATGGCAGTTCTACCTATGTGAGCTATTAATAAAAAAAGAAAGCAAAATTGGGAGCCTGAGATCAGGAGGATTGCAGTTGGAGAGTAACCTAGGCAAATAGTTCATGAGACCCTCATCTCCAAACTAATCAGAGCAAGATGGAGTGGAGATTGACTAAGCAGTACAGCACCTGCTTTACAAACCTGAAGCCCTAAATTTAAACCCCAGTTCCACAAAAAAAAAAAAAAAAAAAAAAGAACAGAATTAGAGCTGGGGGATATGCTAGTTCTATTGTTATTCATTATATCCCATATCCTGACTGATGAATGAATATCACAATACTTGCCCTAATACCTCATCGCTGGATGAAGAGAACCAAATGAAATCATGTCACTTTCTACATGAAGCCTTCCTCAAACGTTTAGCCAAAATTGTTTGTCCTTGGCCACCCCTGGGCTGTTGACTTGTATTTTTCATTATACTTATCACACTTAGTCTTGTGCTCTGGTAACTGTTTATACGCTGTTTCTCCAACTAGGATAAGGTCTTAGTGGAGACACTGTCTTATTCAATTTTTAAAAATCATATAGCACCATGACTTGAACATAATCTAAGACATGTAATAAACGTTTATTAAAAAGGGCTCATACAAAGATAGCTTGCCAAATAAACAGAACCATCATTATTACTACTTTTGTTGTTATTATAACTACTACTATCTGTGATTTTAGAGAGTATAATTACATGGGTTTTTAGCATGAATACCAGTAGCAGAGTTGAGTGAGGTCAGTCTGTGCAACTACCGTAGGGATTATTCTTATGAATTCTGGCTTCAAGTTCTCTTGTTTCTCTCTGTGTTATTATTATTGCATTAAAATACAACATATTATATATAGAAAGCATTTTTCTGGTTTTATTTGAGTCAGATGTGAAATAATCAATTTTCATGGAATCTGCAAAAAGCCTTCTAATTACTCCATATGATAAATGAGGCTTGTAGGAATATCTAATTAAGTCAGATCTAAATTCCAGCTACAACTTGGGGATTTGTTTATTTATTCATCTACTTTTTTTCTTTTCTGTGACAGGGTCTCACCATGTAGCTAAGGCTGGCCTGGAATTCACAATCCTCCTGCCTCAGCCTTTTGAGTTCTGAGATTACAGGCAAGAGCCACTACATCTGACTAGGCTATTCATCTTTTTTTAAAAAAAAGCATTTCAATGTTACTTTGCTATGTGCTAGACACTGTGCAAAGCATTGTGGGGCCACATGGGCAGAGGGACTGACAGTATTCAGTTCTGTGAACAGAAATCCCCATTAAGAGGCATAAGAATCACTCAAGTACAGTAGTCTGAATCAACTTGAAAATACAGTTGTCATTCAGGGTGCTTCAGTTTGTAATATGAGCTACTTGGGAGGCAGAGATCAGGAGGATTGAAGTTCCAGGTCAGTCTGGGATATAGTTTGAGAGACCATTATCTTGAAAATACCAAACATAAAAAAGTGCTTGTGGAGTGGCTCAAGTGGTAGAGCATCAAACTGAATTCAAACTCCAGTACCATACACACATACACACACACACACACACACACACACACACAAATATAGTTGTCAGACTTGGGGGCATGGCTCAAATGGCAGAGTGCCTACCTAGCAACTCAAGGCCCTGAGTTTAAACTCTCAGTACTGCCACCTCCCCACTCCCATCTCTGCCAAAAGAAACAAAAACAAGTAGGGATTCTAATCTTTGTTTTACATTAGGTGCTTTTTCATTTCTTGGAGTAATCAGATCTATGATCTTGATCTAACTTTGTGTAAGGAAAAGCATGGTTGGGCCACTAGGAAATGCTGAGAACTGCCATCATTTTCATGACCAAACTTGGGCAAAGAACCTAGATCATCTGCAAAACTAGGAAAACAGGATGTTCCTGTACTTCCTTAGAGAATTATATTTACATTTTGAAGCAGAAACTATGCTGTTTGGGGAGTTCTGTTGTTGGATCGATGATCAAATTCACAATTGATTACTGCAGATATTAGAAATATAGGTGAAAAACACAAATTAAAATAATTTTATTTCTTAAAATTTATTTCCTACAATTTACTAGATGGTTTTGGTATAATTTTGAAGTGTAATGGATGGGGTCTACTGGAAAAACAGACATTTCTTTACCTGATCTTGAATGTGTGATGTATAGGTATTAACTTTATAGTGCTTCACTATACCCTTAAAACATAAAGTTTTTAATGATATATGCACATCCATGTTCATATCTTCTTTGTAAACTTCTGAAATCACCTTATCATTCCATTTAAAATAAAAAATGAAGCAACTATGCATGCAATTTCCTTTAGAGCACACAGCTTAAAATTTGCATCAAAATAAAAAAATCAAGACTGCTTAATTAAAACCTTGACACCATCAACCTCTTTAATTATGTGTTAAAGAGACTGGCACCCTGGGGATACCAACTTAAAATCAGTGTGCATTTTAAGTGTCTTTAGTATGTGTACATGCACAGTTCTTTGAAGAATAAAAGAGAGAGAGAGAGAGAGGGCTTAAATAGAAAAGAATGGTCTAAAATTTCTCTGAACAGGAATTATTTCATGCTTTCCAAGCAAGTAGAGGGCGAATTTTTTTTTTTCTGAAGAATAATGCAGAAGAGAAATGTAAAACAAAATGTTTTCCCTCTTCTCTATGTTTGAATTTCAATGAGTGCTTTCTTTTGAAACAGGAAGATTTTTATAGTAATTGTTACAGTCTGAAGCTTGACTTCTGGTGGCTGGGATGGGCTTTTCAGACCACACTGGGTAAGTGGGGGAAGAGAGGGCTGTTTATTTCTCTTCTTCCTTACAGTGCATAAATTTTGCAGTAAAACGATTGCTTTCTTTACATCTTAGTTCTTGTTGTCTTCACTATTAGGCGCCCATCCCCAATTTCTTTCACTAATGTGGAACCCAGCAGCTCTTTGTTCTCATTGTGTCTGTCGTCTCCCTTTCTTTGTGTTGCAGGGATACTGCTACCGCATCTGCCACTGAGCATGCGGAAAAATCCTTCAATAGATTCTTTACTTAGGACTTTCAGTAGTATTACTCCACTTCTCCAGGTTTTTGTAATATCCAGCACATCTGAAAAGATAGACTGAAACTTGGAAAGGTGTTGGGAGATACAGGTGGTTCTGAGGTAGGCTAGTGAGCTGCGACATCAGCTTGGGGAGGTTCAGGGTAGTTACTACATACATTTATCTAATTTCTGGAGCTGTTGCCAAGCAAATTCTATGCAGAACACCCACGCTGCGCTCACACAGAAGCTAGAGATGTAGAATGACAACTGAGAAGACACAAGTGTTTGAGTAGGAAGGCACAGAGCCAGATCTAAAACCAATAGATACAATGTGTTAGCAGTTCTACAGAGACGCAGCACACCATCACAAAGATTGGTACGCGCGGTTCCCGAGCAAGGACCTTCGCCATTCATCAGATAGTAGTATCATCCAAAGATGGGAACCAGTGGCGGGAACTTTTCTCATAATAAAACATCAGGCTTTTTTCTGGTTGAGTTAAACACTCAAAATGCGAAGTCAAAGTTAATTTAATGGAACTTGATTCACTTCTGCTTACAAGGCTTTTTCTTGAAAAAAAAATTGATTTGCCCATGGTTTCTGAGAGGTAAGAAGTAGCAAGTTTGCAGGGGAGGCTAGAGGGTCTTGCATAGAATTCTGAGGTTTTCGGGTTTTTGCTCCAGAAAGTTTGATCTTAATAGCTTGTAAGTTACTTAACAGATGGTCTACTATACAGTTCTGCTCAGATTTCTCCCTATAACCATTGTTTGTTTGCTTGCTTTTGCCTGTTTTGTTCACTGCTTGCAGGGCCAGCTCTTAGAACGGTGCAGCAGGTGCTCAAAGATCTTTTGACTAATGAATATATGAAAAGAGTATCAAAAACAACTCTTGTTTTATGCTAACAAACTAGTGAGAACAGTTCAAACTTGATTATTTTATAATAAGCCGAAGTGAACACTTGGCTGTTTAGCAGATGACTATTTTCCCTCTCTTAGTGACAGGAATTTCTTCCTTTCCCCCTAAGCCTCTCCTCTCCCACCATTTTGTTTCTGTATTACTATTTGGTAACTGCATTAATAGCATCTTTTCAAAGTCTTTCTGCTCAGCACATCTACTTTTAAGTTCTTAGGGTAATGTTCCCCACCCTTCGATTTTCTGTGGGTTTCCTTGGCTAGTGATTAACAAATACTGTTGTTAAGCCTAACAGTGCTTTTGGAAGGGAACAACCCAGCCGCCCGGGGAGAGTCCTCTATTTCAGGCACCTGCTGCGGCTTTTAGAACCCCACCCCAGCTCTGAGGTCCACGCGGCACAGCGTTCTCTTTGCAGCAAAGGGAGGAAATGCCTGCGGCGGGAAAGTACAGGTGGGACCCAATCAGGCACCTGCGGTTAGGTGGCCCCAGGCGCAGGTCCATGGCTCAGGCCCCGCCCCCTCAGGAGAACCCCCCCCCCAACTCCACCCCCCCTCCCGCGCCAGGCGTGTCCTCCAGCATCCGGCCCCGCCCGGCCCGGGGGCCGGGGCTAAAACCCGGAGCCGCCGCGGCGCCCAGGGGACTGGCGGGACGCACTGAGCATGTGCAGAGCTGGTCGGCGGCGGCTGCCTCGGCCCGAGGCTGGGCCGCGGTGCTGATGCTGACACCCGGCTCAGCCTCAGTCCCAGCGTGGTCCGCTCCCCGAGCTGGGGCGATAGCCAAGGAGCTGTAGCCTCCTTGCCACTTCTGGAGCCGGGGCGGCGGGCACGCACCCTCGGCGGCCGCAGTGCCCTCGGGGCCCGCGATGATGGCGGAGCAGGTGAAATGCGCCTCGGCAGCGGGCGGCTCCGGAGCGGGCTCGGGGCCGGTGGTGAACGCCGAGCTGGAGGTGAAGAAGCTGCAGGAGCTGGTGCGCAAGCTGGAGAAGCAGAACGAGCAGCTGCGCAGCCGGGCGGCCAGCGCGGCCGCCGCCCCGCACCTGCTGCTGCTGCCACCGCCGCCGCCCTCCGCGCCGCCCCCCGCCGGGGCCTGCAGCCCGTTGGGTCCGCGGAGTCCCCCGGCCTTGGCGGCCGCTGCCACCACCCCGGGGGCTCTGGGGCTCGGGCTGGCGCTGGGCGCTGGGGGTGGCAGCAGTGGTGGCGGCTCCAGCTCTGCGTTCTCGGGGACCTACTGCCTGCCCAGCCCCGCGCCCTCCCTGCTCTGCAGCCTGGCGCAGCCCTCCGAGGCGCCCTTCGTCTACTTCAAGCCGGCGGCGGGCTTCTTCGGCGCGGGCAGCGGCGGGCCGGAGCCGGGGGGCGCGGGGACACCGCAAGGGGAAGCCACCGCGCCACCCTCACCGCCCCCCACGCTGCTGGATGAGGTGGAACCGCTGGACCTGGAGAGCCTAGCCGCCTGGAGGGACGAGGACGACTATACATGGTACTGATGAGCTCCGCTCGGTTCTCCCGGGACCCCGACCTCAGAGACCCGGGAAACTGAGTGGGAGGGGGCGGGGAGAGAAAGAGGGACCTCACGGACGCCCGTACCTCCCCATCCCCCAGTTCCGGGTCAGAGTGGCCGAGCAGGTGCCAGATCGGCTTTTTTAGGAAGGCAGAAACCTGTTTTCTGATAGATCACATTGATCCGACTGGGGAGTGGTGATGAACTGATCCCCGCCATCTGCCTGTGTTCTGCTCTTGGCTGATTATCGTGTCCCCAGATCCTCGTTAGCATTAATTGCAAAATCCATGTCATCTTGTCTTTGTCACTCGGTCCTGCTCTTTTTCCTTTTTTTGGTGGGGGGGGGTGAGGGGCGGTGCATGTGATGGGAGTAGGTAGGAGTTGGCTTCTGTTACTGTTACTGTCCTTTCAAAGGAACACTGGACAGGATTTGCCTTCTGTCCCCTCCCGGGGCACCGAAGCCTCCTAGTGATGGATCCCTTAGAGATTCGTGCTTGCAGAGAAGTTGTGCACTGTATAGCCTCCTTCGCTATGCTTTCACAGATAATCTTGCTTTTTTAGATGTGCTGACCTCTCTGGCTTTCCCATCCGGAATTGTGGCAAGAATGAACACTTGTTAGGGAATGGTGTGAGTAGGTGTAGGCACTTTTTTAAACCTAGGAACCGAGGAACTTTCTTTAATTAAAAAAAAATTAAACTATTGAAGAAAAGTGCGATTAGAGAAACTTGATTTTCTTATTTTTAGAAATTTTTAAGTTGGCAGTATTTATGCACCTGAAATCTGGTTACCTGTATCTACTTTCCATGAATGAGTAAGTTTTGGAAAAAGCAGATATCTAATTCCTTTATCTGTTTTTTTTTTTTTTTTGCTGCTTGCTGAAGGAGTAATAGTCATTCTTTAAAGATTGACTTCGTGTGGTTGGTTTTGTGTGTTTTCCCTAGTCACAAGATATGTAGTGGATAAGGCTGAGCTTGGATTCATGCAAGGGAAGGGAAAAGTGTGCATTCTACCTAGCAGTGACATGAAAAATAGTTTCCGGTTATCTTAGGTCCTTTTGTTTAGGAAATTACCTGTATTCCAAACTGAGTTTTCCTCACTTTGTGTTCCTGTTGTATGATTGCATTCCTATTGTATGATGCATGTATGAATCTGTAGATGGAGAACCTTACTGGTTTGCTATTGGCAACTACAGTGTTTATTTTCATTTACACTGTTATGTGACAGTTGACTAAAGTACACTAATTGATTTGATTGGAGAATTAAAATGTGTAGAACTACCTTTATCAGTTATCCTTCTTAGTACTTTTCTGCAGCTGTGCAGGTATCTTAAGTTGTAAAAATGAAATAACACTTCCTGGAACAGTTTTAACCCATTCTTTAGAAGCTTCCCTTTTTTTCGAAAGGTGTAGGCTTTATTGCAGTCTCGTTTTCAGCCTAAATATAGTTCTGGAAAATGGTCTTCTTCGTTAGTGACTGTAAACCCTTATGCCACTTCCAAATTATTTTAGTGATACTTGGCCTTTTTTGATGTATATGAACAGTGAAGGAAACTTGTTTGTATTTTTGATGGAAGTTTAGGGGATCAATTCCATGCTTTAAAAATATTGGCATTTAAAAAAATGTTATGATATTGTTGTTCAGTAAGTATATTTGGTTAGTAATTTTAATATTTTCTTTTAATGGACTTCTGCCATATTCAGTTATCTGACTATTCCAGTTATACTGATATCTAGGCTTTTGTTCTGCCTTTTTTTTTTTTGTCCAAATAGCATTGAAATAACTAATTTAAAATCTCTTTAATAGGATTGGCATATTAATGCTTTAGATGGTTTTAAGAAAACTTAAATTTAATCAGGTTCTGTTAATTTCATTAATCAAATATGTAGGTGAATAAATCAAATTAGTGCCCCAGTGCTTTAGAAATGTATCTGTAGACATATGCCACCCTATTTACAGACTATCTTTCTTGAAATAGACACCAGAAATAGATCCCAGGTGGAAAAAACAAGGAAGGGTCATTAATCTTGGTTGAATGGACTTAAAAATTTTAAGGTCAGATGATATACCAGATTTTTAAACCATAACATTGTATACATTATTTTTGTATTGCAACATTTTGGCATATTGATTTTGGCATATTGATGAAAAAGTAATCAACAAGAAATAATTTTCAAAGTGCAAGCCACTTGTTAATGCTTACAAAGCGTACCGGTTCCCTTATCACTGCAAACTATACATGTCTCTCTCAGTTTCACGATAGTACTTTTCATTCAGATTCTCTAATAGGTTTGCAGTATGGCAACTTATTTTAGTTACCTATGTATGTTAAAAAAGTGGAGCAGATTTAGTAAAGATATTTAAAACCACAAAGTATATTATATGCACGTGTTGAAATATTACAGTGACATCTCTTTGTGTAATTAATATATGAAGATAAAAAAGATATTTAAAACTAGAAGTTAGTACAAAGTCACAAATACAGCTCTATTCTTGTCCCCAGTCCATCACAATGACCCAGAATTAATCTTTTAACATTCCGTAGATTCTTCTAAAGCAGGGCTGGTGGAGTGGCTAAGGTGGTAGAGTTCCTGCCTAGCACGTGTGCGGTCTTGACTTCAAACCCAGTACTTCAAAACAATATCATAAAAAACTCCCACATAATTGTACAGGCCAATATACAAAGATTTACTTACCTGGTTTTTACACTTACGTTTCATTGAACTTATGTAGGACATTTTGTAAATGTAGCTTTACCTTTCACTGTAACAATTTCATCTTTGTTGCAGTAAAAATATTAAGGAAGAAGTTACTATTATCTGTATCTCCTGTAGTTTTCATGAATTTTTATGATTTCATCTAATGGGTTAAGCAAGTTAGTATTTGATAATTAGAACAATACTCACTGTCACCTACAAATGTAGATTAGTCTTGAATATTTTAGAAGTATATCCCTTCTAATAAAACCTTACGATATAACTGTTCTTGTCAACTGTGACAAAATTTGGCTTATGGGTACAAGTAAAATTGTAAAAGAACCAATATTTGTGTGGTGAGAGTTCATTAGTTAGGCCTTTTATTTCTGAACAATTATTTAATCTGTAAGCAGTATTTAAAAAAAAACAAGAATGGTATGCTCTTACTCACTTTTAAAAAGCTTTAAAACAACAATTCCTTATTTCTTTACCCCAGTTGAGTTTAAAGTATTTAATTTTGCCTTAATATAACCTGGTTATCCTAGCACAGTGCTGCTTGAATTAAATATTTCAGGAAATTAAGGTTGAGACGGTCTTAATCCTTAAGTCTAATTACTGTGGCCCTGTAGTAAACGTTCACATCTTTTACTACAAAAGCTCAAAAGGGCTAAAATCTTGATGGGGCATTGGTGTGTCTGGAAGACTTTCCAGTCTTAATGGAAGGAATGATAAAGATCTGTATCTCTGTCCCAGTGTCACCAGGCTGAGAAGCACCAGAGTATAAGCAAAGGAAGACAGATTGGTAGGTAGACCTTTCCATGACCTGGTTCAACTCCCTTGTTTCAATGTTGAGGGACAGAAGCTGTGAGTGGTGACTTATGAAAGGTTTTGCAGTTGGTTACTAAGAGTACAGACTAAAATTCAGGTTAGATACTCAGATTCACAAGTGTTTACAGCATTGATATTTTCTCACAAGCAAGGTTGTGACACATTAGTGGGTTATTAGGTCAGTTTAGTGCATTTAATAGTATTAAAAAATGAAGAATAAAAATTTAGAGTTCATTGCACTTTATAACACTATACTTGATTAAAATTCTTTCAGTACTGTACATGTATGTCCTGAGTTAAAATAGTAAATGTACTTGTGTGTTATAGTCAGAGACATGCCGATTTACATTGTTTGAAAGCACAATGAATTTGGAGAAACAAATGGAAAAGCATAGCTATCGGAAGATAGTGTAGCACCCTGGTGTAAGTTAAGTCTTGAACACGTTAATAAAGAAGACATTTTTCTATTTAAAAAAATGTCAAGATTAAAAACATGACAGCCGATAGAAAACAGTCTTATAATAGGGCTTTATTTTAGTGTAGTGAAAACATTGAGACTTATGTAAAAGGTATGTGGCAGGAATTTTAAATTGTCCCACCTGGAAGGGACAGGAGAACGTTGTTAATTATACAAGGGAAAATGGTAATGTGTACAAATTGAGGGAACTTTAATGAATGAGATGTTCATCTTCTATGTGTAATACTAAGACCCCAGACAGCTGGCTAAAATCATTCCAATTCTTCATCAAAGCTGTTGAGTGCCTTGTACTATACATATGGCACAGCTAAATTAGCCCACCTAAACGCTTCTTTTTTTCCATAATTGATTTTCAGTGAAAAGACCAGAGGGCACGTCACTTTCTGACAATGCTAATTGAAAATGCACAGTGTCCTCTAGCAGCAAATGGTGTTGCCTGAAGTGTATGAGAGCGTGTTTTAAACAAGTAACTTGAGGCACTGAAACAGAAGTTTATATTCAACTGGGTGAGGAAGGGAAGGGGTGGGAGGGGAGGGAAAGTTTTCTGTAGGACAGGTCATTAACTAAAATTTGGACATCACATGTCCTTTTAATAGCTAGTGGCTGAGTTTTTCACTGGCAGCTTACCTTGATCTCCCAGAAGGTTTATGATACATGAACAAAAGATTAGCTGAGTGTTGTCATTGTCAATGGTTTAGCCTTCCTTAAAATTTGTCTGAAAATTATTATAGATTACTTTTTTGGTAATAGGTCTATGAGTGTATGTAATTGTACTCATTTTTGCTGATCCTGTTTGATTTATATTTGCAAAAAGATGACTTGAAAGCATCTTTTTTGTTTTTTCTAGACAGTTTCATTGGAAACATTCAGGGTTATTGTGGAAAACTTTGCATTAGTTTTGATCTACTGGTCTTAGCAAATGTGTAAGTCAGGAGGTCCAGAATGTAAAATATGTGTAAAAGAAGGGAGTCTTTGAGAA